GGGAAATGTTTTTTAAAACATCGATAAAGTAGAAACATACTGGATTTAACGATTGGAGCACATAGCTGGAAATCAGAACATCAGAGGTACAAACCCGAGAATCACCATTTCCTGAGCACCTCGGTATGAAAGGTACTTTGCATACAGTCAAGTATCTCTGCAAAGCTTGGCTTAACCTCAGGCCAACCTTACAAAGAAGATTTCTAACCTCCCCAAGGGCATATACTAGCTCTTGTTTATCTATTCCCAGGCTCCAGAATAGTGTCTTAGTGTTTGGCACATTTAATATTTACTTCTTAAATGAACAAAGTAGTCCCTTTTTTGCAAATGAAGAACTACTAAGGCTCCCAGTAGTTAAGCAGCTAGAAAAGCCTGGATTCAAACCATACCTTAAAGCAACCTTCTAAATAACTAGGAGACCCCACAACTGGAAACATATATAAACCAAGACAGAAAAGAAAATTTGTTTTAGTTTGCTTTTCGGTAAAATTATGAGACTATGATATATTACTTGCTGACATTTATACAAAGGCATAATAATGTTCAACTTTATTTAAACGATAATAGCTACTGATTTATGGTTTTCTATGGACTAATTTCTGTACTAAGTGCTTTACATACGCTCTCTCATTTAATCCTCATAACACTATTATTATCATCCCCATTTTATAGAAAAGAGAACTAAGGCTTAAAGAAGCAAAGTAACTTAAGTGGCAGAGCCAGGATTCAAATCCAGGCAAGAAGACTATTTCCAAAACTCAACTTTTAAATCAATACACTTGTTACATGTAAATGGCAGTGGCGAAAAGGCAAAAAAACAAAAACAAAAAAAACAGGTGCACCAGTGAGTAAAGGTACTCTCCCCTAAAAGCAAAATAAGCTGATAAGAACAAAGGGTTGGGGTGGGCACAGTGGCTCATGCCTGTAATCCCAGCACTTTGGGAGGCCGAGGTGGGTGGATCACTTGAGGTTAGGAGTTCGAGACCAGCCTGGCCAGCATGGTGAAACCCCGTCTCTACTAAAACTACAAAAATTAGCTGGGTGTGGTGCTGAGCACCTATAATCCCTGCTATTTGGGAGGCTGAGGCAGGAGAATTGTTTGAACCCAGAAGGTAGAGGTTGCAGTGAGCCGAGATTGCACCACTGTACTCCAGTCTGGGTGACACAGTGAGACTCTGTCTTAAAAAAAAAAAAAAAAAAAAAGAATAAAGTACTTATTGTTGGAATTAAGGCTATGAGTCCCCCGAAAAAAACAGAACACACATGAGCTAGCTTAAGTGAAACAGAAATTAATCGTTTTTAAAGAATACAATAATGATGGTAGCGGTGGTGGCGGTCATCATGGTAGAAGCAAAAATAAGCAATAATATTAATAACTCAACAATTAAATGGCCCATTTCTGTGCCAGGCCCTGTTCTAAGCACTTTACTTGTATTAACTAATTTAACCCCAACAACAGCCCTGTAAACATAGCTGTAACCAATATCACAGGTAAGGAAACAGCTTCCAAAAGTTAACTTGCCCAAACTCAAAAAAGTAGAAAGCTTTCTTCCACACAGACATCTCTATTCCACAACCAAAACCTAGCAGGCTCAGTTCCAGGCCGTATTTTTGCTCTGATTTCATCAGGAGTCCACCCTGGTCCAGCACCTCAGAGCAGGAGGCAGAATCAAATGGACCAGTGCCTGGAAGCAGAGAATTAAAGCTCATCCATTCATCCATGAGCACGTTCATTCACAAGCACTTATTCATCCATTCACCAGCACCTGTTTCATAGCAAACCCTGTCGGCAGAGTAGATTCTAAATGTTTATCAAGCCAGGCACAGTGGCTCATGCCTGCAATCGCAACACTTTGACAGACCAAAGTGGGAGGATCACTCGAACCCAGGAGGTCGAAGTTGCAGTGAGCCAAGATCACACCACTGCACTCCAGCATGAGTGACAGAACAAGACTTCATCTAGGAAGGAAGGAAGGAAGGAAGGAAGGAAGGAAGGAAGGAAGGAAGGAAGGAAGGAAGGAGGGAGGGAGGGAGGGAGGGAGGGAGGGAGGGAGGGAGGGAGGGAGGGAGGGAAATGTTTATCAGAATGAATTAAATGGATTCATGTAACCACAAGTATTCCCATCTCCCAAATACTCCAAGCACCAGCATTATAGAAATTTCAGAGAGGTGTACATATCTGACAAAGGCCTGATAAGCCTCTTAGGGTCATTCATAATTAGTGATAACAAGATACCAGAAACAAGATTTAAAAACTAAAAGAAAAACTCACAAAAATAGTTGCATTATATGGGAATCAAAGGGTTAATCAGCTCTTTCAAAAACACAAGAAAAAGAACAGTCCAGTTGTAAAAGACTCAAAAGATATATAAACAGACAATTCACAGAAATCAAGTGACCCTAACAAATGCTATTTGTTATTTCACTAAAGAATTGCAAATTAAAATAATAAAATGATACTCTTGTCTATCTGTTTTATACAGATGAAAAAAACCTCTCACAGGGTTAGCAAAGTTATACCTTGTTGTAAGAGTATTAACTATAAAAAACTATATTAACATGTATATCTACTATGTACCCACAAAAATTAAAAATTAAAAAAAAAAAAGCTACATTAGCTTTTCTGGAGAAAAACCTGGCAATAGAAGTAAAAATAAATAATACAGGCCAGGCGCAGTGGCTCATGCCTGTAATCACAGTATTTTGGGAGGCCAAGGGAGGAGGACTGCTTGAGCCCAAGAGTTCGAGATGAGCCTGGGCAACATAGTGAGACCTTGTCTCTACAAAAAAAAAAAACAAAATTAGCCAGGTGTGGTAGTGCACACCTGTAGTCCTAACTACTCAGGAGGCTGATGTGAGAGGATTTCTCAAGCCTGGGAGGTAGAGGCTGCAGTGAGCCAAGATCGCACCACTGCACTTCAGCCTGGGTGACAGAGTGAGACCCTGTCTCAATCAATCAATCTGTAATATACATAGATGTTGACCCAGAAAATCTATTTCTATGACTATTATCCTAGGAAGATAAAAGAAGATATTTATATAGATAGATATATTTTACATATAAACATATGCATAAGAATTTCACTGTAGAAATTCTTCAGAAATTTTAATTCACTCGTCCATTCATCCATGAGCACATTCATTCACTCCACCCTCGGCAACAGAGTGAATGAATTTTTTTATACTTGTAAAATAAGAAAAAAATATAAATCCACTGGATAAGAATACATAAAATGTATCTAATCACTGGGATACTACGTATCTGTTAAAAGAGACAAGGTTGAATCCTAAGTGCTGACCTGTAACACTATGTTGTTACAAAAAAGAAAAACACACTATACGACAGTATGAATGTATTGAAACTACTTCATATCAGATTCAACCCAGAGACATTACATGGATAGTGTATTCTATAATATACATGCTAACATAGTTTTTAATAATCTAGTAAATCTAGATTATTTTTATATTATTTTCAAAATTTCTGGACCAAATTATCCTAATAGGCCCCCCATCCAGCTCTAAAATTCTTTAATCCTGATTTTTTTTTTTTTTTTTTTTTTTTTGAGACAGCATCTTACTCTGTCACCCAGGCTGGAGTGTAGTAGTGTGATCACAGCTCACTGCAGCCTCGACCTGCTGAGCTTGAGTAATCATTCCACCTCAGCCTCCTGAGTAGCAGGGACCAAAGGTGCATGCCACCATGCCTGGCTAATTTTTTTATTTTTTTTTTGTAGAGAAGGGGTCTTGCTATGTCGCCCAAGGTATTCTCAAATTCCTAGGCTCAAGCGATCCTCCTGCCTTGGCCTCCCAAAGTGTGGGATTACAGGCATCAGTCAATGCACCTGGCCTAATCCTATAAAGTTGGTACACCATTGATCTTATACACAGTGTTAGTATTCTTTTTTTTTTTTTTTTTTTTTTGTGACGGAGTCTTGCTCTGCTGCCCAGGCTGGAGTGCAGTGGCACACAAAGCTCTGCCTCCCGGGTTTACGCCATTCTCCTGCCTCAGCCTCCCAAGTAGCTGGGACTACAGGCACCTGCCACCATACCCAGCTAATTTTTTCATATTTTTGGTAGATACGGGGTTTCATCATGTTAGCCAGGATGGTCTCGATCTCCTGACCTCATGATCCGCCCGCCTCAGCCTCTCAAAGTGCTGGGATTACAGGTGTGAACCACCACACCCCACCACATAGTGTTAGTATTGCAAGGCCACAGTGTGTCTCCCCTCTATGTTTCAGAACCTTTTATTGAAGCACAATATGAAATCCAAAAAAAGGTTCAGAATTTTTATATCTATGTCGTAAATTTAAACTTTTAACATTACACCCTTAATTATCAATTATAATTCATGTTGAATTTATTTATGGAAATCACAAATTATAATGATCTCTTACCTCAATAATAATCTATATTTTAAAAAAAAAACTAAGATAACTTTTTGAACATTGAAAGAGATGAATAACTACACATTCTGCCATATATGATACACTTAACCCAAAAATGTTGAATATGAATCAAACTCTATTAGAGGGCACTTATAAACAGCAATGAAGCCCCTTGGCAGTGGGTGGGACTGAAATTTGGAGTCAGAAGACCTGGAAACAACGACCACTCTTTTGGCTCCAGAATCCCAAACAAATCAAATAACCTGCGACTCAACTGCCTCCTTTGTAAAAGCATGATAAAGGAATTATATAATGCCTGTAAAAGGTGCCTGACAGAGTGCCTGAGACAAAATAGGTTCTCATTTTCTTGTTTAATAGAAACAGCTGCATCACTGTTGCTTTTATTAAGGTTAAGGACATCTCAACTTAACTAGTTTGTTCATCTGAATGTTTGTAACATTGTATACACAACCATTCTATACTTTTTTATACTATATATTAGAAAGGGAATTCTTGTTTCCAAAACTCTATTTGTTGGCATAGTCTTTTCCACCATAAATATGCAAAAACATGTGTTATCTCCGAAATTCAGGGAGAAAGCATACTTACAAAGCACACCCCCAAAGCTCCGAGTTGCTCTTCTCTGAGCTCAACGCTCTTTTTAGGCACATATATCTGCCTCCTATCATTTCTTCATGAGGTTCAGGGCAAAGGGCCTAGTCAAGCAGATGATCTTTGGTTGCCCCTAGACTTTCCCCAAACCACCTACAAATAAACGAAACAAGGGGTAAGACATACCTACAACTTTAAACATTTTTAAATAATGAAATATGAAAATTAGGTCCCTATGTACAGACTATGGTATAACACAGAGCAGAGAAAATGCTCCTAGAATCATTCAAAAGCCCAAGTGACCTCACTACAATTCTTCACATCCAAGTGCCCAGCCAACATATTGTCACTGGCGACTTCCATCCATGCCTGGTCATCCCTGGGGCTTGCCAGAGAGTTCATGCTCCAGTGTGAAACGCAGCCCAAGTCTAGCCAAAAGTACTATGCCATGAGCATGTCTAAAAGTTGGTAACTAAGTCAGGTAACACAGTTAACATGTTACTTCTGAGTGTGGTGACCCAATGGTACTTCTAAGCCAGTCTAACACTCGTAAAGGAAATATTTTACAAGCTGTCCAGTTCTTCCCATACTCAGTGCTACAATTAAATAAATAAAAGTAAAATGCCTTTGGTTGTAGGAAAGAGCTATGGATAGAAATGTTTTCAATTATTTGTGACTGCTTTCGAAGCAATCTCTAAGAATCCACAGGAAGTGATCCAGAGAACTGGGAGTTGTCTACATAAAAGGTAGATCTGGGAATACATCTATAAACCATTTCAAGAAAAAAAAAAAGGTATTCTGAAAAAGCTAATCAAAATAAAACTGTCAAGAAACAGTTCAAAGAGACTCAGGTTATGCAATGGCAGACAAGATATGCTGAGAGAACATACGTACACTGCACACTTCACTCTTCTAACAAAACAGTCACCATAACCCATGAGTCATGGGCACAACCAAATTTATGTATGCCAATGTGAAACTGCCGAAGTTTTAACCTTATCTCTGTGCTGTCCAGTACAGTAGTCACTAGACACATGACTACTGAGCTCTAGCTCTAGCCAGGTCAAACTGACATATGCTATACATGTAAAATACACACCAGATTTTGAAGACTTAAAATATTTTTTTTTAATGTATAGACAGGCATGGTGGCGAGCTACTGCGCAGGCTGAGACAGGAGACTCACTTGAACCCAGGAGATGGAGGTTGCAGTGAGCCCAGATTGCGCCACTACAGTCTAGCCTGGGCAACAGAGCCAGATTACGTCTCAAAAAAAAAAAAAAAAGTAAAAATCTCAATAAGTATAATAAGTATATATATTGTATATATATACTCAAGTATATATATTGAAATAAAATATATATAAGATGTATATATTGTATATATATATCTCAAAAAGTAATATATTGAAATAAAAATTTCAATATTACTCCATTGAAAACATTTTTCTGTATTGTGCTAATTAACTATTACAATTATTTTCACCAGTTTCTTTTTACTTTTTTAATGTTGGTACTAAACATTTAAATTCACTTGTGTGGCTCACACTGTATTTGTATTTGACAACACTAATCTGCATAATTAATAAAAATAAACAACAAATGCTGAGCACTTGCAGGGTGCCAGGCACTGTGCTAGATACTTTACATAATACTCAAATCAATGCTGCAATTAATGGCAGAGTTTTACCAGACGCCTACATAACAGATTGGCTCCATCAAACCAATAAAAGATGCAGCTGGGATTCAATGTCAGGTATTTTTACGAAATAATTCAATTAAGGCACAGCTAACAGCTAAGGCTGGGGCAATTCCCATGATGGCACGGGAAAAAGAGCTCACTAATACAGCGTTCCCGAGAGTAGCAAGCTTTTTGTGACTACAAAACAGGTATTTAAAAAAAAAAAAAAAATGAAGTTCCATAGCAGGACAGGCAAGCAAATGTCAGACGGTTCTCTGAAGGACCTACCGAATGAGTCCAAGCTCCTGTCCCTTAAAGCTTCACAGATGCTAGCGGTAGAGCAAGCTGCTCCCAAAGGAAGGACAATGCAGTCCAGATTCGCTGGATAACCTGGCCAGGACCTGACCGCGGACACCCCTGCCGAGGGAGGGAGGCCTTGGGATGACAGGCGCGCCGTCTCCCTTCACCTCTGCACACACTCCACCCATCCACTGCCCCACCCCAGATCCCGCGCCGCTCCGAGGTCCCCACCCCTAGGACGAGGGGAAGCGGGACTAAAACGTCTACAGTAAGACGGGGAAGTGGTCGAAAAAGGGCAAGGGGGAGGTGGGCGCAGGTACCTGAGACGGAGGATGACCCCAGCTCCTTAATGCCGGATCATCGCCTAGGCCCCACCCGGCTCCCGCGGCTACCAGTGACCCAGAAGGTGCAACTGACCAAACGCAGCGACTCAACCGACTCTGCTCTCCCCAGACTCGCAGCTATGGCAACTTGAACTAGCCGCCCAGCCACAGCGAGAGTACAGGACCCCGCTGCCGCCGCTTGGCCCTCTGGGAGTTGTAGTCCATCTCGGCCTCACCATCAAGGAGTTACCAAGGGAGAGGGTCCGGAAAAGGAACTACAAATCCCAGGATGACATACAGCTGGCCTTCGGGTAACTTTCCCGGAAAAGAAGCCTGATCCCTCGGCCGCGCCCTCTTGCCCTGCTCTATTTTTTTTTTAAAGGACGAGCCTCCTTTGTAGGAGGCAAACTCCAGATAGAAAGTGAATTAAAATGCTTCCTTAACCTTGACTGTAATTTTACTCCCTGGGGAACAAAAGGAGTCCCCGAGGACTACGGTAAGATGGGGAAGTGGTAGAAAAAGGACAAGGGAGCGGTGGGAGGACAGGGAAGGACAATTTCTAGCACTGAAATGTAAAAATCCCCTTAATACCAGCGTCCAGTATATTGTTCCAAAGACTCACAAATTCTTAGAACCGGACGGGAACAGAGAAGATTATGTAGTCCAACCTGCTTGGCCTGGAAAGAGGAAGGGACTTGCCTAAGAGCCTATGGCTCATTCCCGGCACACCGAAAGTAGATGTGAGGCTGTCAGCTCATTACTGCTGCTACTTCAGTCTAGGTGTCATCCCCTCACTCTAGAACATAAAAGAAATGTTTTCCACTCAGGGGAGTTGTTTCAGTCACGAAGAGAATGAAAACCTCAATAAAAAAACTGAACTTTGGAAAAACTAAGAAGTAACAAATTAGTCATGTAAATTGCCCTTCTTCTCCGCCAAAAAGACCACTTCCCCTTCCTTCTTTGAGGCTAAACTCAAGTATTACCTGATCTGTGAAAGCTTTCCTGGCTACGTGAAGAAGAGCTAGATAATGTTTAATAACAAGCGTTCCTTAATGTAATAATTCTGTGCTCTATACTCCATTTCCCAGTTGGTCTCCTCTATTAGCCCTTCAAAGGGACCTAACCTTTTTTTAAATTTTCATCTTTCTTCTCACCCTTTCCTCACTTGCCCTTCTCCGTTCATATCCCCCTCTCTGTCTCTTTTTCTCTCTCCACCTTTCTCTCCTTACGTCCCTCCTTACCCCTCCCCCGCAACAGGCAGTCATAAATAATTAGCACATAAATTTGATAGAGTCGAATTATTCGAATATTTTTGTCTAGCCAACACTGAGACATAAAACTATCTCATATTGGTTTGAACATAAAAAAATTCTTCTAAAGACCTCCTATGCATTTGCAATTTCAAGCTGCTTAGTTGAAATTGTTCCTCAAGAATACACTCCACCGGACAGAGTTTAAGATAATTCAGAACAGCCATAAAATTGCCCCATACGCATGCAGAGGCATAATAATAACTGTTTATTTGTTAACATTTTAACTTTTAAAACAATTCTATTCATTCAAATAATTCAGCAAATGTATGCTGGATATTTCCAGGATCCAGACGTTGTTTTAGACACTGAAGGTGCAGTGAAAATAAATAAACAACATAGACCTTGCTTTCAAATTGCTCAGAGCCATGTGAGAGAAAAAGACTAATAAATGACTACAAATCTCTGTGTAATAGAATACTGCATAGGTTTCTATGGAAAGACATAAAAGAGAAACTTTCTGAAGAAGTGATAATCAGATCAACCGCAGGAGAAATGTCTGCCAAAAGAGCTAATGTAATCCTGAGCTACATTAATAAAAACTGATAGTCCACAGCTTTTCCTCCCTGGTTCAACGATATTTAGAGAATTGGATTCTATTATAGAGGCTTTATTTTTCAAAGTGATATTAACCAAATAAACATCACAGGACACAACTGGCACCAAAGGGTTAAAAATCAGGTTTTTTTTGTTTGTTTGTTTTTAGTTCATTTTGATCAAGAAATGCTTAAATATGTTATTAAATTCATAGCAGCTGTTTGTCAGCTATGGTGTGCTCTTGGTCAACAGATATGGCATCCCAAAAAAAATGTAGTGAAGTCAGGGCGGGGGCGCTGACTCAAGCCTGTAATCCCAGCACTTTGGGATGCCAAGGTGAGCAGATCACGTGAGGTCAGGAGTTCGAGACTAGCCTAGCCAGCATGGCGAAACTTCATCGCTACTAAAAATACAAAAATTAACCGGGTTTGGTGGTGGGCACCTGTAATCCCAGCTACTCGGGAGGCTGACGCAGGAGAATCATTTGAACCCGGGAGGCAGAGGTTGCAGTGAGCTGAGATCGTGCCACTGCACTCCAGCCTTGGTGACAGAACGAGACTCCATCTCAAAAAAAAAAAAAAAGTAGTTAAGTCACATCACTGAATCTTCGTTTTTTGTGTCTTAACAAAATAGACAAAATGAGTTAAAGCCAACAAAATAGATTTTACCTGAAATTGTCTCGTAACTCTCAAAGATATGTATTAATTTTAATCAATATGGCCAACACACATTATACAAACACAATACCATACTTAAGCAGAATCATCTGAGCTTAGATTTGGAGAAACCTACAAAGTGTATTGATATGGTCTGGCTGTGTGTCCCCACCCAAATCTCATCTTGAATTGTAATCCCCACATGTCGGGGGAGGAATCTTGTGAGGGATGATTAGATCATGGGGCAGATCCCCCATGCTGTTTTCATGATAGTGAGTGAGGTCTCAGGAGAGCTGATGGTTTTATAAGAGGCTTTTGCCCACTTCTCTCTCGTGTCATCATGTGAAGAAGGATGTGTTTGCTACCCCTTCTGCCATGATTGTAAGTTTCCTGAGGCTTCGCTAGCCATGCAGAACTGTGAGTCAATTAAACCATTTTCCCTTATAAATTACCCAGTCACAGATAGTTCTTCATAGCAGGGTGAAAATGAACTAATACAAGTATCATTTGCAGTACGCTTCTTTTGCAAACCATGTATTATAAGTAGGGGCACACAGAGGTTACATTATGTATTTGTTTACTAGGGATTTGATTAAATACCACAGAATGGGTGACTTAAACAACAAAAATTTGTTTCTCACGGTTCTGAAGGCTGCAAGTCCGAGATCAAGGTGTCAGCAAGTTCAGGTTCTCCTAAGGTCTCTGTCTTTGGCTTCCATTTTTTCTCTGCATCCTCAAATAGGCTTTTCCCTGTATGAGCACATACATGGTTTCTCTTCTTATAACAACACCTGTTATATTGAATTAGAACTTCATACTATAGACTAATTTAACCTTAACTACCTCCTTAAAGTCCCCATTTTCAAAAACAGTAACGTTGGGGGTTAAGGTTTCAACATGTCTTCCCCAAAATTGTACCTATTCAGGATTAGTGTCATCAATGATCTTCTCATTACATAATACCTGGATTGAGGTAGCTGCGGGAGATATTTTTGATATGCCTCACCCACATCACCCCTTAACTAGAAATGATTCTACCCACAGTGTTGGGCCCCCATGGCCTTGTTTATATTATACAAAGCCCCTACCTGTCTCACCGTGGCTTATTAGACAAACAGTAGACAGACACCTGAGACCATTTGAGCCAATTGGGCTCTTTATCCTTTGAGAATTGAAAATGGGGACTCAAGCTCCCAATTTGTTGCTAGAATAGTCTTGATGTACAGGTAAGAGCTGAGGCCGCCACAGAGAGGTGACCATCTTCACCTGTGTTCAAGAAGCAGCTGATAATGCTAATCTGCAGAGACAGAGAGAAGTGAGTAAAGCAGTGAGAGGAAATAAACTACACAACTACGAGGAAATAAGCCCAAGAGAATACAGCCCCAGTTCCTGACAACTTCCAAGTTCCTGGATTCAAGTCTTGTTATTCCTGCTTGTATTTCCTGTACTTGTTTTTTCACGATACACTAGAGGCAACTGGAGGTGGTTAAATGCACAGATTCTGGACCCAAACCACTTGGATCCAAGTTCATTATAGTACCTATCAGCAATGTTACTTCACACAAGTTACTTAATCACTCTGTGTCTTCATTTCTTCCTCTTCTAAATGTGGACAGTAAAAATAGTACTTCATGTGTCGTTGTTTGGGGGATAAAATAAATTAATGTGTGTAAAGCACTAAGCCTAGTGTCTAATTCATGGTAAGCATTATTGAATGTAAGCTGCCCTTATATGTAAGCTGACAAATACTATGACATCCTAAAAATGTTAGTTCCATGAATATTGGTACTCTATTATTTTGTTCTAGAACAAAGAATGTATTAATACCTTGTTGCCTTGTGATGATTTCCCTTTTGAAGCCTAAGATTCGTTCTGTTGATTGAAATCTAAAGAGCCTCGACTAAGGTTACATTAATGAGATCACCAGCCTGTAAGATCCAAGATGCTAATTCTAGATATAGTTTCTTGAGCAGTTTCATCAGAAACACTTTTGAACCATACAAAACATTAAATGCCTAGATGAGCTAGTCAATAAAAGGGTTCTGGAATGGGGCTAGTCATTGACCTGAGCATCCTAACCCAACTCATCTAGAATGAATAAATGTAGAGAAGGGAAAACAGCTCTTATGTAAGAAGCTGGGGGTGGCAGACAGAGGTAGTGCTGTTTCAAGGAGAAGGGACAGAAGTTGTATTTCACCAATAACTTCCAAATTTATACAACTATGAAACAACAACAGCTGATATGATTTGGTTCCGTGTCCCCACCCAAATATCACATGGAATTGCAATCCCTAATGTTGGGGGTGGGACCTGGTGGGAGGTGATTGGATCACAGCAGTGGATTTCCCCCTTGCTGTTCTCATAATAATGAGTTATCACAAGAACTGTTGTTTGAAAGTGTGTAGCACTTCCCCCTTCACTCTCCCTTTCTCCCACTCTACCATGTGAAAAAGGTGCTTGCTTCCTCTTCACCCTTCGAAGCACCATGATTGGAAGTTTCCTGAGGCCTCGCTAACCATGCTTTGTGTACAGCCTATGGAACTATGAGTCAATTAAACCTCTTTTCTTCATAAATTACACAGTCTCAGGTGGTTCTTTATAGCAGTGTGAGAATGGACTAATACAACAGCACACTA